TAGGGGCCCATGGAGATTAGGGGCCTGGCAGCAGCTATGGGAGGCCCGTAATCTGCCTGCACCCTATGTCAAAAAATTTCCAGCAGTGTGAGGAGACCTGAAAGTGGCACATGGCAGAGTGTGTGGCGATGGAGACAGCAGCAATGGGAGGCCGTACAGGGACCATGACAGACTCTGGACTTGGCAGCAGCATGAGGAGGCGGTATATAGGGGCCCATGGCAGATTAGGGGCCTGGCAGCAGCTATGTGAGGCCCGTAATCTGCCTGCACCCTATGTCAAAAAATTTAACACACCAGCAGTGTGTGAAGAGACCTGAAAGTGGCACATGGCAGCAGAGTGTGGCGATGGAGACAGCAGCAATGGGAGGCCGTACAGGGACCCATGAGAGACTCTGGACTTGGCAGCAGCATGAGGAGGCGGTATATAGGGGCCCATGGCAGATTAGGGGCCTGGCAGCAGCTATGTGAGGCCCGTAATCTGCCTGCACCCTATGTCAAAAAATTTAACACACCAGCAGTGTGAAGAGACCTGAAAGTGGCACATGGCAGCAGAGGTGGCGATGGAGATGGAGACAGCAGCAATGGGAGGCCGTACAGGGACCCATGAGAGACTCTGGACTTGGCAGCAGCATGAGGAGGCGGTATATAGGGGCCCATGGCAGATTAGGGGCCTGGCAGCAGCTATGTGAGGCCCGTAATCTGCCTGCACCCTATGTCAAAAAATTTAACACACCAGCAGTGTGAAGAGACCTGAAAGTGGCACATGGCAGCAGAGTGTGGCGATGGAGACAGCAGCAATGGGAGGCCGTACAGGGACCCATGAGAGACTCTGGACTTGGCAGCAGCAGCATGAGGAGGCGGGTATATAGGGGCCCATGGCAGATTAGGGGCCTGGCAGCAGCTATGTGAGGCCCGTAATCTGCCTGCACCCTATGTCAAAAAATTTAACACACCAGCAGTGTGAAGAGACCTGAAAGTGGCACATGGCAGCAGAGTGTGGCGATGGAGACAGCAGCAATGGGAGGCCGTACAGGGACCATGACAGACTCTGGACTTGGCAGCAGCATGAGGAGGCGGTATATAGGGGGCCCATGGCAGATTAGGGGCCTGGCAGCAGCTATGTGAGGCCCGTAATCTGCCTGCACCCTATGTCAAAAAATTTAACACACCAGCAGTGTGAAGAGACCTGAAAGTGGCACATGGCAGCAGAGTGTGGCGATGGAGACAGCAGCAATGGGAGGCCGTACAGGGACCCATGACAGACTCTGGACTTGGCAGCAGCATGAGGAGGCGGTATATAGGGGCCCATGGCAGATTAGGGGCCTGGCAGCAGCTATGTGAGGCCCGTAATCTGCCTGCACCCTATGTCAAAAAATTCAACACACCAGCAGTGTGAAGAGACCTGAAAGTGGCACATGGCAGAGTGTGGCGATGGAGACAGCAGCAATGGGAGGCCGTACAGGGACCCATGACAGACTCTGGACTTGGCAGCAGCAGCATGAGGAGGCGGTATATAGGGGCCCATGGCAGATTAGGGGCCTGGCAGCAGCTATGTGAGGCCCGTAATCTGCCTGCACCCTATGTCAAAAAAAATTTAACACACCAGCAGTGTGAAGAGACCTGAAAGTGGCACATGGCAGCAGAGTGTGGCGATGGAGACAGCAGCAATGGGAGGCCGTACAGGGACCCATGACAGACTCTGGACTTGGCAGCAGCATGAGGAGGCGGTATATAGGGGCCCATGGCAGATTAGGGGCCTGGCAGCAGCTATGTGAGGCCCGTAATCTGCCTGCACCCTATGTCAAAAAATTTAACACACCAGCAGTGTGAAGAGACCTGAAAGTGGCACATGGCAGCAGAGTGTGGCGATGGAGACAGCAGCAATGGGAGGCCGTACAGGGACCCATGACAGACTCTGGGACTTGGCAGCAGCATGAGGAGGCGGTATATAGGGGCCCATGGCAGATTAGGGGCCTGGCAGCAGCTATGTGAGGCCCGTAATCTGCCTGCACCCTATGTCAAAAAATTTAACACACCAGCAGTGTGAAGAGACCTGAAAGTGGCACATGGCAGCAGAGTGTGGCGATGGAGACAGCAGCAATGGGAGGCCGTACAGGGACCCATGACAGACTCTGGACTTGGCAGCAGCATGAGGAGGCGGTATATAGGGGCCCATGGCAGATTAGGGGCCTGGCAGCAGCTATGTGAGGCCCGTAATCTGCCTGCACCCTATGTCAAAAAATTTAACACACCAGCAGTGTGAAGAGACCTGAAAGAGACCTGAAAGTGGCACATGGCAATGGGAGGCATGGCAGCAGAGTGTGGCGATGGAGACAGCAGCAATGGGAGGCCGTACAGGGACCATGACAGACTCTGGACTTGGCAGCAGCATGAGGAGGCGGTATATAGGGGCCCATGGCAGATTAGGGGCCTGGCAGCAGCTATGTGAGGCCCGTAATCTGCCTGCACCCTATGTCAAAAAATTTAACACACCAGCAGTGTGTGAGAGACCTGAAACATGGCAGGCACATGGCAGTGTGGCGATGGAGACAGCAGCAATGGGAGGCCGTACAGGGACCCATGACAGACTCTGGACTTGGCAGCAGCATGAGGAGGCGGTATATATATAGGGGCCCATGGCAGATTAGGGGCCTGGCAGCAGCTATGTGAGGCCCGTAATCTGCCTGCACCCTATGTCAAAAAATTTAACACACCAGCAGTGTGAAGAGACCTGAAAGTGGCACATGGCAGCAGAGTGTGGCGATGGAGACAGCAGCAATGGGAGGCCGTACAGGGACCCATGACAGACTCTGGACTTGGCAGCAGCATGAGGAGGCGGTATATAGGGGCCCATGGCAGATTAGGGGCCAGCAGCTATGTGAGGCCCGTAATCTGCCTGCACCCTATGTCAAAAAAATTTAACACACCAGCAGTGTGAAGAGACCTGAAAGTGGCACATGGCAGCAGAGTGTGGCGATGGAGACAGCAGCAATGGGAGGCCGTACAGGGACCATGACAGACTCTGGACTTGGCAGCAGCATGAGGAGGCGGTATATATATAGGGGCCCATGGCAGATTAGGGGCCTGGCAGCAGCTATGTGAGGCCCGTAATCTGCCTGCACCCTATGTCAAAAAATTTAAACACACCAGCAGTGTGAAGAGACCTGAAAGTGGCACATGGCAGCAGAGTGTGGCGATGGAGACAGCAGCAATGGGAGGCCGTACAGGGACCATGACAGACTCTGGACTTGGCAGCAGCAGCATGAGGAGGCGGTATATAGGGGCCCATGGCAGATTAGGGGCCTGGCAGCAGCTATGTGAGGCCCGTAATCTGCCTGCACCCTATGTCAAAAAATTTAACACACCAGCAGTGTGAAGAGACCTGAAAGTGGCACATGGCAGCAGAGTGTGGCGATGGAGACAGCAGCAATGGGAGGCCGTACAGGGACCATGACAGACTCTCTGGACTTGGGCAGCAGCATGAGGAGGCGGTATATAGGGGCCCATGGCAGATTAGGGGCCTGGCAGCAGCTATGTGAGGCCCGTAATCTGCCTGCACCCTATGTCAAAAAATTTAACACACCAGCAGTGTGAAGAGACCTGAAAGTGGCACATGGCAGCAGAGTGTGGCGATGGAGGAGACAGCAGCAATGGGAGGCCGTACAGGGACCATGACAGACTCTGGACTTGGCAGCAGCATGAGGAGGCGGTATATAGGGGCCCATGGCAGATTAGGGGCCTGGCAGCAGCTATGTGAGGCCCGTAATCTGCCTGCACCCTATGTCAAAAAAATTTAACACACCAGCAGTGTGAAGAGACCTGAAAGTGGCACATGGCAGCAGAGTGTGGCGATGGAGACAGCAGCAATGGGAGGCCGTACAGGGACCCATGAGAGACTCTGGACTGGCAGCAGCATGAGGAGGCGGTATATAGGGGCCCATGGCAGATTAGGGGCCTGGCAGCAGCTATGTGAGGCCCGTAATCTGCCTGCACCCTATGTCAAAAAATTTAACACACCAGCAGTGTGAAGAGACCTGAAAGTGGCACATGGCAGCAGAGTGTGGCGATGGAGACAGCAGCAATGGGAGGCCTTACAGGGACCCATGAGAGACTCTAGACTTGGCAGCAGCATGAGGAGGCGGTATATAGGGGGCCCATGGCAGATTAGGGGCCTGGCAGCAGCTATGTGAGGCCCGTAATCTGCCTGCACCCTATGTCAAAAAATTTAACACACCAGCAGTGTGTGAGGAGACCTGAAAGTGGCACATGGCAGAGTGTGGCGATGGAGACAGCAGCAATGGGAGGCCGTACAGGGACCCATGAGAGACTCTGGACTGGCAGCAGCATGAGGAGGCGGTATATAGGGGCCTATGGCAGATTAGGGGCCTGGCAGCAGCTATGGGAGGCCCGTAATCTGCCAGCACCCTATGTCAAAAAATTTAACACACCAGCAGTGTGAGGAGACCTGAAAGTGGCACATGGCAGAGTGTGGCGATGGAGACAGCAGCAATGGGAGGCCGTACAGGGACCCATGACAGACTCTGGACCTGGCAGCAGCATGAGGAGGCGGTATATAGGGGCCTATGGCAGATTAGGGGCCTGGCAGCAGCTATGGGAGGCCCGTAATCTGCCAGCACCCTATGTCAAAAAACTGAACACACCAGTAGTGTGTGAGGAGACCTGAAAGTGGCACATGGCAGAGTGTGGCGATGGAGACAGCAGCAATGGGAGGCCGTACAGGGACCCATGAGAGACTCTGGACCTGGCAGCAGCATGAGGAGGCGGTATATAGGGGCCTATGGCAGATTAGGGGCCTGGCAGCAGCTATGGGAGGCCCGTAATCTGCCAGCACCCTATGTCAAAAAAACTGAACACACCAGCAGTGTGTGAGGAGACCTGAAAGTGGCACATGGCAGAGTGTGGCGATGGAGACAGCAGCAATGGGAGGCCGTACAGGGACCCATGAGAGACTCTGGGCACTGGCAGCAGCATGAGGAGGCGGTATATAGGGGCCTATGGCAGATTAGGGGCCTGGCAGCAGCTATGGGAGGCCCGTAATCTGCCAGCACCCTATGTCAAAAAATTCAACACACCAGCAGTGTGTGAGGAGACCCTGAAAGTGGCACATGGCAGAGTGTGGCGATGGAGACAGCAGCAATGGGAGGCCGTACAGGGACCCATGACAGACTCTGGACCTGGCAGCAGCATGAGGAGGCGGTATATAGGGGCCTATGGCAGATTAGGGGGCCCCCGTAATCTGCCAGCACCCTATGTCAAAAAACTGAACACACCAGCAGTGTGTGAGGAGACCTGAAAGTGGCACATGGCAGAGTGTGGCGATGGAGACAGCAGCAATGGGAGGCCGTACAGGGACCCATGAGAGACTCTGGACCTGGCAGCAGCATGAGGAGGCGGTATATAGGGGCCTATGGCAGATTAGGGGGGCCTGGCAGCAGCTATGGGAGGCCCGTAATCTGCCAGCACCCTATGTCAAAAAACTGAACACACCAGCAGTGTGTGAGGAGACCTGAAAGTGGCACATGGCAGAGTGTGGCGATGGAGACAGCAGCAATGGGAGGCCGTACAGGGACCCATGAGAGACTCTGGACCTGGCAGCAGCATGAGGAGGCGGTATATAGGGGCCTATGGCAGATTAGGGGCCTGGCAGCAGCTATAGGAGGCCCATAATCTGCCAGCACCCTATGTCAAAAAATTCAACACACCAGCAGTGTGAGGAGACCTGAAAGTGGCACATGGCATGAGACACTGTGGACCTGGCAGCAGCATGAGGAGGCGGTATATAGGGGCCCATGGCAGATTAGGGGCCTGGCAGCAGCTATGGGAGGCCCGTAATCTGCCAGCACCCTATGTCAAAAAAACTGAACACACCAGCAGTGTGTGAGGAGACCTGAAAGTGGCACATGGCAGAGTGTGGCGATGGAGACAGCAGCAATGGGAGGTCTCCCATTGTCCCAACATGGCCCAAATAGTCCCAACATGGGCCCCCTGGCCACGCTTGACTTTCTGGCCACATAGTCGACATACGGCTACGTTTACTTCCTCGGGCGGCTTGACGAAATATTGCCACACCGCCGAGTAGGAAACTTTGCCCCCGATACTCCTCACTGGCTGACTGCTGCTTCCTCCGTGCACACCGGCACCACTACTGGCCGTGGTGGTAGGCTGCAGTGGAGCTGGTGCTCTACTCCGTGGCCGTTTGGCTCCACTGACACTGCTTCCACTGACACTGCTGCGACCCTGCTGCTGTCTCCTGGGCAACCCACCGACTGTTTCGCTCACTGCCAAGCTGCCACCCTCTTCTCCTGATGATGCGGAAGAAATTGCCTGATGACGACGAGGCTGCCAAGTGCGATCAACCTCCTCATCATCAAGTAGGGTCTCCGCCTCACTACTAGCCCCCTCGGCTGCGTCTGGGTCAGGAGACAGACCTGTCTCCAGACCGGCTACCGGGCCACTCTCCTCGCCACTACTTCTTCGCCTAGCTGCTGAAAAGGCGGATGTCTCCCCCCGTTCCTGACCGCCCTCTGTTAGCTCTTCCTCACTGTACAGTGGGGCTGAGCCCACAGCATGCGATACTTCGCTTGGTGAGGGAACACCAAAGGACAGGGGCAGGTAGAGGACACGTGATTTCAGTGGGCTAGGTCCCGGGCCATGCCAACTAACGTTTGTGTCTGACGTACCCACCGACCGTTGGCTGTAGGTGTCAGAGGTGACCTGGAAAGAGGAAGACGACCGAGCCAACCAATCGATAACGGCAGGGTTGTCGGTGGAGACACGACCGCTGGATGACACCGGGAGCACTGGCCTCTGGCTGCGAATAGTGCTGCCACTCCTCTGCATGTTGTCTGACATACTATTTAATTCAACGATTATGTGTCCCTGAGTAACAATTCTGTGTCCCTGAGTAACAATTCTGTGTCTGTGCGAGTAACAATTCTGTGGCCCTAAGTAACAGTTCTGTGGCCCTCAGTAACAATTCTGTGTCTGTCCCTGAGTAACAATTCTGTGGCCCTAACTAAAGTTTCTGTGGCCCTAAGTAACAATTCTCTGGCACTCAGTAACAATTCTGTCTGTCCCTGAGTAACAATTCTGTGGCCCTAATAACGTTTCTGTGGCCCTAAGTAACAATTATCTGGCACTCAGTAACAATTCTGTCTGTCCCTGAGTAACAATTCTCTGGCACTCAGTAACAATTCTGTCTGTCCCTGAGTAACAATTCTCTGGCACTCAGTAACAATTCTGTCTGTCCCTGAGTATGAATTCTGTGGCCCTGAGTAACAATTCTGTGTCTGCGCGAGTAACAATTCTGTGTCTGTGCAAGTAACAATTTTGTGTCTGTGCGAGTAACAATTCTCTGGCACTCAGTAACAATTCTGTCTGTCCCTGAGTAACAATTCTCTGGCACTCAGTAACAATTCTGTCTGTCCCTGAGTAACAATTCTCTGGCACTCAGTAACAATTCTGTCTGTCCCTGAGTAACAATTCTCTGGCAACTCAGTAACAATTCTGTCTGTCCCTGAGTAACAATTCTCTGGCGC